GTCCGTCGCGATGGCAACCGCGGCCTGGCCTGACGACACGGGCACCTCGTCGTCGTCAACTGCCAGCATTGAATTGACGCTGAACTTGAGCGCCTGCTTGTCCACGACCGCTGTCATCGCTCACTTGGCCTGTGACGCCGACCAGTCGGAGGTTATGCCGTGGTTGGGGTCAAATGGAAAAAATAGCTGTCACCTCGAGTCAGCTGACGCGTTGGCAACCGGATCTGTCTGCGGCAGCGTTGATTGGCCGAGCGGAATGGCGATGCGCACCAATCAGACGGCTGGAAAGGGGACACGGCGCCAGTCGACGCCTGATTGGTGGAGCCGCCGGGCCTGCCTGGCCTTTGATTGGCCACTATTTGACGAGACGCCTCGCGTCTGTTGCCTCTTTCGACAAAGCCCGCAGCAAACGCTTCTTCCGGAGTGGGGACTCGGGCCGTCCTCGTGACCGAAAAACGCGCCGTGGCAGCTTCAACAGAACGCTCAACCAGAAAGCTGACGATTGTTTCGGCTCATAAACGAACAAAATGCCGGTTTACAAGACTCGCCTCGGACACTTTCATTTCGCATGAAAGCACATGCTGAAGAGGCTCGGGCAAACGAGGTCCGAGCTTTCGTTGGTTACGCTTTCGCGAATCAAGCCGAGTCATGGCCGGTTTTGCGCACGTGAATTAGACGCGAAGAAAAGTTGGGTTTCGAGCAATCGCTGCTTTCGTAATTGTTGGTAAATGCCACTTTTTGGGGATTTTCCGGTGAGTTTTCTTGACTCGTCAGCTTGAATTGTGTCGTGACGACGCTATTCGTCTTGTCACGGACGAGAGGTTGCCATCTTTCCACGGAAATGGAGGCAGATTGCCTCGGAAACAGCGTCGGCATGGAGGCTCCAGTCGAAAGGAATCCGTTGCTGGTCGTCTTCTGGTGGAACCGAGCCTCGAATCTGTTCAGCAAACACTCTCACTCGAAACGGAAGGTTAGCTACGCCCTAATCGACAGGTCACTAACGAGACGAAATGAAAGGAGACGCTCATAAATAAAGTCGGATAAATTAAATTTAAACTAAATTAAATTGAATGGGGTCAAATGGAAATACATAAATTAAAAGAATGAAAATTAAATACAATACAATAATTTGAAGTGAAATGTGAGGATATAAAATAATTAGGAGTAAAATGAAAACAAAACAAAGGAAATGAAGTAAAACGAAATAAAAAGTTTTAATGGAAATATAGAAATGTACTTGAATGAAAAAAGGGAATTAAAAGGACATTAAATGAAAAATTTAGGAGTAAACTGAAATAAAATTAAATTAGCTTTAATTGAATGGAATTAAACTGAATAAGCGGAAGTGAAAAGTTGTGGATTCGAAAATTATGAAATAAGTTCAATAAATGAATTGAAATGAAATAGAGTAAAGTAGAATAAAATTGATGCAATAAAATAAAATAAAATAAGATAACATTTAAAAGTAGGCTAATCTATACAAATGAAATTAAATTTAAATGGATTTAAATGCTTATTTACGTATACATTAATCTCGTCGATTGACAGACGAAACAAATATAAGTTTGCTTCATGCCTGACATTCTTTGAAATTTATATCCACCCTCTGAACCTCATGGTTCGACTCCCGCTAGGAGTGTCGGCAAGACCTAGGCGAGGTCGAAACTACACTCCATTAAATGAGATGCTAACCCATTTTAGGAAAGCAAGGCTGTGAAATGCAATCGACAATAACACACCTACTCATATCCTTGAGGGAAAAGTCAACTACCAGTCTTTCATTATCTTAAACTAAACAGGATGAGCACAACTCATACAAGATAAAACTAAATTAAGGAGCCCAAACGACCTCTACTTGCATGGTATATATATATTTATATATTTATATATTTATAT